GGGTCCCTATGGGGGCTATAGGGACCTATGGGTGCTATAGGGACCCCCACTAAGCACCATGGGGACCTATGGGTGCTATAGGGACCTATGGGTGCTATAGGGACACCTCCAAGCACTGTGGGGACCCATGGGTGCTATAGGGACCGATGGGTGCTATAGGGACCCCTCCGAGCACCGTGGGGACCCATGGGCACTATAGGGACCTATGGGTGCTATAGGGACCCCTCCAAGCACCTTGGGGCCTACGGGTGCTATAGGGACCACCTGTGTTCCATAGGTCCTATAGGGACCTCTCCCCATACAGTGTACACACCCCTGGGTGCTATAGGGGCCTCTGGGTGCTATAGGGACCAGCTGGGTTCCATAGGTGCACGGGGTGCTATAGGGACCCCCCCCCCCAAGCCCCATGGGTGCTATAGGGGCCACCTGGGTTCCATGGTGGTCTCCATCCATACCTTGACCCCATAGCTCATGGTGGTCTCCATCCATACGTTGACCCCATGGGTTGTGGCAGTTCCCGGTGGAGAACCATGGGGTGGAGGTGTCCCCATGGGGTGGAGTTGGGGTCAGTTGGGGGTCCCACCAGTGGGGCCATTCACCCCTTGACCCTATAGAACATGATGGTCTCCATACCTTGACCCTATAGGTCATGCTGGTCTCCTCCATACCTTGACCCCATGGGTCATGGTGGTCTTCATCCATACCTTGACCCCATAGCTCATGGTGGTTCCCGGTGGAGAACCATGGGGTGGAGGTGTCTCCATGGGATGGAGTTGGGGGTGGGTTGGGGGTCCCACCAGTGGGACCATCCACCCCTTGACCCTATAGAACATAGTGGTCTCCATACCTTGACCCCATGGGTCATGGTGGTCTCCATCCATACCTTGACCCCATAGCTCATGGTGGTTCCTGATGTAGAACCATGGGGTGGAGGTGTCCCCATGGGGTGGAGTTGGGGTCAGTTGGGGCTCGCACCAGTGGGACCATCCACCCCTTGACCCTATAGAACATGGTGGTCTCCATACCTTGACCCTATAGGTCATGCTGGTCTCCATCCATATGTTGACCCTATGGGTTGTGGCGGTTCCTGGTGGAGAACCATGGGGTCAAGGTGTCCCCATGGGGTCAAGGTGTCCCCATGGGGTGGAGTTGGGGTCGGTTGGGGGTCCCACCAGTGGGACCATCCACCCCTTGACCCTATAGCTCATGGTGGTCTCCATCTATACGTTGACCCCATGGGTTGTGGTGGTTCCCAATGGAGAACCACGGGGTCGAGGTGTCCCCATGGGGTGGAGTTGGGGTGGGTTGGGGGTCCCAGGCCTGGTCCCACCTCTCACGGGGTTCCTGTCCCCCCCCCAGGGCGACTCGGGGGGCCCGCTGGTGTGCCGGGAGGAGCTGCAGGGCATCGTGTCGTGGGGGATGCAGGTGTGCGGGCAGCGGGGGAAACCCGGCGTCTACAGCCGCGTCTGCGAGTTCACCGCCTGGATCCACCACACCATGAGGAAGAACCGCCACGGCTGAGCCACAGGGGCCACCAAGGGTCCTGCCCGCGTCCCGTGTCCCCTCGCCCCCCCAAAAAAACCCCAACCCACCGGGGGTCATCTTCTCCCATCTGCCATCCCCGTGCGGTGGGGGAGGGCTCCTGGAATAAAC